ATATATATATCTGTCTGTCTACATGTACCCATCTATTGCGATGTCTGTCCAAGAGATAAATTTCCCTTCCCTGTTATGTTAAATCAACCATTTTTATTTTTACAGACGCAGTATTGTGTACATACTTTCAGAAACCAAATGTCAAACGCAGTGACTATGTCTCTTCGGCCGGAGTCCACAGTACAACATTTCTATCTCGTCTTCCAATCGTTTCCCCCTTAGTTCTTTTAGAGTTTGAGGAAGAAATGAAAGTCTGAGAATGATAATAATAAATAGCATTTGTATAGCGCATATCCCAGCTCAACAGCAGGCTCTATGCACTTTACACTATATTATTACCCCAGCAGACCATAGGACGCTCCGAAACAGTCTCAGCTTCCCGGGAAGCATACACTGCAAGCAGCTGATTAAGCGATCAAACACTAACAAACTGACAAGATCTTTCGCTGTCTATAGCCATATCCATTCCCACCTGGGTGAAGTGAGGAAAATTCGTGTAAAGTGCCTTTCCCAAGGGATTCGAACCCACGACCTTACGGTTGCGAGTCCGAGAGCCTAACCACTAGGCCACCGAAGATTTTCAAGGATTTCCCACTGCCAGGAGTCCAGGAGACTGTTGACCTTTCGAGCAGTGAGCATGGGAGCCTTGTCATGTTGGAAGACAACACTTTGGAAAGACAACACCTTGCTCAGGTAGACCCGGCCACCAACTTATGGCTACTGGTCTCAGCGTTGTTTGAAGAACCATCTTGTACTAGTCAGCATTGACTGTTGAGCCAGCGGGAACCGGCCAGTTCAAAACCACACCTTTGTGAACGACAAACACAATCTGCATCACTTTCAAGGGCTCGAGATTTCTGGGGCCATTGTGATCCTTGTTAATCCATTCCTCTCATTGTCCTCTCAGTTCTTGATCCACAGTCCAAATGTTGTTTCGGCAATCGAAATAACCATCTCCACAGTCCAAATGTTGGTTCGACAATCGAAATAACCATCTCCACAGTCCAAATGTTGGTTCGACAATCGAAATAACCATCTCCACAGTCCATGGTCGTTTGTGGTGGCG